GTGTCTGAAAACATTCTTGCCTGAATGTATGAAAGAGGCCAGTCAAGGAAGTGTCATCTTGCTATTTTGACCTCTTAGAAAGTCTTTCATCTCTTATTGCCTTGGTTTTCTCATCTAGGATAGAAGCACCTGTAAACTTAACTGATGCACATTCCCAGAGTGTGAATTCTCTACCTGGTTTGACTGTAGTCACCCCTTCTCCAATGCTCTCCACAATTCCTGCTGCTTCATGGCCTAAGATCACAGGAAAAGGTGTGGCCAATTGTCCAGAAACAACATGGTCATCTGAGCGACAGACTCCTGTGGCTACTATCTGCAGGATAAAAGTACAATATTAAATTAATGAAATTATATAGCCCTAAGATGGACCAAACATTCAGAATTCTCTGAAATTGAACTAATCTCTACTCTTTCTAATGCCAAAGATTCAGTTCTTATCTCTAAGATTATCAGGTTTAACTCTCCTCTACTTCTCTTTCTTGTATAATCTATTCTTAAATAATTTATGAAATATGTACTCTTGACGTAAATTTTAGATCATATACAAGAAGGTACACTTTTTCCAAAAGTAGAAATTGAATATTAGAGCCAAGAAAATAGTCACCTGAGTTTTAGTATAAAATGCTAAGGGATTTTGAAATGTTGATAAGCATTTTCACTTTCTTAGTCCTATAAAACCACATGTATTTTATTTTCCTATATAGTATACTTGGAAGCAGAAGTGACATCCACTTCCTAAATAACATGCCTCTGGAAACTCTATGAAAATTGATAAGTGTCGATAGTTGTAGGGGGGCTTCAAGCCTTTTGTTCATAGGGTCGCTATGAGCTGTGCTCTACTCGAAGGCAATCAACAACAACAACAACAACAGTATAGCACACACTCTTAGAATAATGGTGAAACATCTCACATACTTTGGGCATGTTGTTAGGAGAGCCTAGACCTTCAGTAAAAACATCATGCTTGGAAAAGTGGGGAATTAGTAAAGGAAGAGGAGACAGACCCTCAATGAGGTGGGTTGAGATAATGACAGTTACAATGAGTTGTAGTTCAGCAGAGATGACGAGGATGGCACAGAATAGAGCAGGATTCAGATCTGATGTTCATAAAGTCACTATGAGTCATACTGATTCAACTGCACCTAACAACAACAGCGGCAATCCTTTGGTCAGTTCTTAAATTTGGCAGTATATGACGTATCTTTCACAACAAATGTAAATTTTTTGGTTTAAATTATCATTATGTACGTACAAACTCCTCTTTCTGGATTTTATTATTCTCTGTAATTTTATGAAATTTAATAGAAATTAAGAAAATGTTTCACCTTAATACGAACTTCTTTCGCTTTTGGGGGTGCAACCTCTATCTCCTCAATCGAAAAGGGTTTTTTAGGCTCCCACAGCACAGCTGCTTTGCATTTTATTACCTGGAAAATCAAAGAGAACTTCTGTCATTCTTGAAGTCAAACCATTGAGTCTTTTTATTATCTAGCATCTTGTCAAGTGCAAACAACTGCTTCTAATAAATCAGTATCTCTCATATCAAAAAAGGGAAAAGTACACTTTAAAACTATAAAATAATTATATATAAATAAAGAAAACCAGTTAATTATAATAAGACATTGAAATAAAATATGTTCTTACAGGTCATTCTTATGCTACTTTTTACTTTAAGAATGTTTATACCTGAGCTTTTCAAATGTTGTCCTGAAATCTACTGCTTAACCACAAATATTGGATTGTACATAAAGTTCTCAGTTACTATTGTTTCATTGGCAGAGAAAAACAATGTTCATAGAAAAATGTCTTGGCCTCTTGCTCAATTCTTGGCACAGCCAAAATAATCTGTTTGTTTTTGGTTGTTTTTTTTTTAATCCCCTTGACTCTCAGTTCAGGACAAATTATCTTTTACTATGTTTGCTCGCTGTCCTTTTTCTTAGAATTTTTCTTCCCCACACATCTGTGTGTTTGTTTCCTCACACATTACAAACCTAACTTTGGCAGTATTGTTTTGTTATCAAATTAGATTTGAGTATGCTAGATTAAATTAGAGCCAAGAAGTATAAAGTTTAAAGCATCAGAATGAAAAATAACTCATACTGACATATTAATTTATGTGTTTTTCAACAATTCTCACTGGAACAAAAGTAATACAAAGATAAATAGATAAAAGTTTATCAAGGAATTGATTTTATTTAGATCCACCACCAATGTTCACAAAAATAGAAGCCAAGAAATCGAGTGACATATTGTATTAGACAAAACTGTTGCCAAAGACCTCTTTAAAATGCTAAAGACCAAGGTGTGATTGACTGATCAGGCTTGGTATTTTTAACTCCCTCATTCAAATGGACCTGGTACACATATATACCAGTACACGTAGGAACTGGTTTGGAATAGTTGACTGAGTAATGAGCTTCTATGTTATAGTTGGTGGCTTTTTAAGCTTACCTCTGTGGGTGAAAGATGAGGCTAACTTAAAGATTTGCCCCCTCAGAAACCCTACGAGCAAGTGGCTTAGTGGTAAATAATTGTGCTGCCAACCCATTGGCCTGCTATTCGATTCCACAAGCAGCTCCAAGGAAGAAAGATGGACAATCTCCTCCCTTGTGATTTATTATCTCTGAAGACTCACTGGAGGGTCACCCGTGGCTAGATTCTGACTTATCAGTACATACAGCAACAACAACTTTCTCTCTGATAGGGGTGCTCTGAGTTGGAATAAGATTCAGTGACTGGGTCTTTTGTTTGTACACCCACGAAGGTAGCTCTGGTAGTAAATTGCAACTGCTATTCCAAAAGTGGATGGTTTGAATCTGCCAGCTATTCTGAAGGAGAAAAATGGGCAATCTCCTCTCTTGAGATTTATAATTTCTGAACACCTGCTCCAGGGCCAGCTATGAGTCAGATCTGATTTGATGGTGATTAGAGAGACTGAGAGAGACATACGAAGGTTGGACAATGAATAAGGAAGACCACAGCAGAATAGATGCCTCTGAATTGTGGTACTAGTGAAGAACAGTGACTATGCAGTGGGCTACAACAAAACCAAACACATTTCTTAGAAATAATACAGCCAAAATGCTCTAGAGAAGCAAGGAACGTGAAATTTTTATCTCACACGCTTTTAGCACATTATTGTTGTTATTGTTAGGTGTCATCCAGTCCAGTATGACTTATCTTGACCTTATGAACAACAGATCTGAACCCTGTCCTATCCTGTGCCATCCCACAATTTCTGATACACTTGAGCCCACTGCCCCAGTTACTATATCAGTCCGCCTGGCCGAGGGTCTTCCTCTCTTTCACCATCCCTCCACCTTTCCAAGCCTGATGTCCCTCTCCAATGAATAGCATCTCCAAGCAACATGCCAGAAGTATGTAAGGTGAAGTTTAATCATCTTTGTATCCCAAGAACACTCTGGCTGCACCTTCTCCAAGACATATTCAAGAGCATGTTTTTGGAGAAGTCATTCCTGGAGAAAGGCATAATGCTTAGGAAAGTACAGTCAGCAAAAAAGAGAAACATCCTCATTGCGATGAGCTTACACTGTGACTACAATAACGAACTCAAGCACAGAAGTGATTCCGAGACTGGTACAGAACTAAAGTGTTTGATTCTATCGTAAATAACTAGGAGTTAGAATGGACTTGAATTATATGATTACTAACACCTAACGGTCAAAATGTGAATGTTTATTAAGGTTGGTTTGTTTAACCTTTCTTGATGATTTTAAGACTTTAAGATGCACTGTGGTAAAAGATTTATAGAATGCTCACAGAGTGTTTCAAAGTCCCTTCAATAAAAATCCTCTCATAAAAGTTCAGTCAGACTGAACTTTGCTGCGCTCATAAAACTATGTGATTACAAAGAGAATACATTTAAATTATAGTTTCTTAATAAATATACAATTTTTAATAACACAGACTTCTAACATTAGATCTATAAATTATAATTAATTTGAAATAACTTATCACTATAGCTACTAAGCACTTCTTCAATACAGGAAATAAAGATTGAATTTGACATAAATGTACTATCTTGTCACAAATATATAGAAATAGATAATTTCTATAGTTCAGTGTAATGTCATTTTGTATTTAGGCATGAATTTAAATTATTCTTTAACTACTATCTTCCTTTGTTAATTATATTAATGTGAACATATTTCTAAAAGTAAATGTCTTATATCTTACTTTTCCTGCTGTACTGCTGGTGCTCATTTTGCTTCTATCTTCAGTGCAGCTCAGGAGACTGGTGAATTCTTGGTGACTTCCCCCCTGCAGGATTGCACAAATATAGCGTGCAGTTACTTTGCTTGCTCAAGTAACGTCCAATTCTGCACACGTGACCTGGTATCTTTAGTCACACCCACCAGTTTGTTCTTAGACCAAGTCAAATCAGAAGACAAAGGTTACTGAACCAATATTCAAAATCTAACACTATTTGCAAATACTGATTTCAGATAACTTCTTGATTTTATTAGGTTTAAACATTTCTCTGCATTTTTAAAAAATCTCTTCTTCCTGTATTTCTTTTTTCTCTGTCCTCTCCACAGGTCATAGGGTTATGTTTTCCCAAAGGCTACAATAAGCTCCAAGCTTTCGATTTTCCTGGAATTACGTAGCAGAAAGAAGAGTCAAGACAAATGAAATAAAGTAGAGAGAGCTAACAGACAGAGAAAGGTGTTTAACAGAGCATTCTGCTTTTCTTCATAATCGAGAAGTCAGATGCCAGAAGTCACATAAAAAATGCTCACTGTTCCTGATCTTTCTGCCCCACTTAATAACCATAATTGATTGAGCGCCTTCTGTGCCAGGCTTGGTACCGGATACAGTGAGAATGTCAGTAATGAAGAGGCAGGATGAGACAGAGGTTATGAAAAGAGGCAGGATAAGACAGAGATTATGAGAGGAGGCAGGATGAGACAGAGGTTATGTTTTGGGCTTTGGACTCAGGTAGACTAATTTTTAGCTTTGTGGACATTAACACAGCATTTAACTGTGCTTTGCCTTATTGTTAAGTATCATTGAGTCATAGATGACTCATAGTAACCCTATGATCAAAAGACACTTGAATAACTTCCATTATTTCCCCAAGTTCATAGAGTTTCCGGAGGCAAGCTATTTTGGAAGTAGATGCCAATCCTGCTTCTAAGCTTGTTTTAATTGGGAAGTTCCACCAAACACTGTCTACCATGTGTAAAAATTAAAATCACCCACCTTTGGCTTTGTAATATAACTTTCTATCTACTAGGCCAACAGAGCTCTTTCTATGTTGTTATTGTTAAGTGCTGTCGAGTCATAGATGACTCAAAGTAATGCCATGAATGAAAGACCTAAACACATGTATAACTTTAATCATTTCTCCGTGTTCATAGAGTTTCCAGAGGCAAGTCATTTTGGAAATGGATGCCACTCCTGCTTCCCAGCTTGTTTTAATCAAGAAGTTCCACCAAACACTGTCCCACGCATCACCATCATCACATTCGACACATCAGTATCACAGTGTTCAGCTTCACAGCAACCACAAGTTACCTCTGTACAGCAAATGGACAGACCAGTGCTATACCACTCAGAAGAATGTTTGACCAAAACCAATTAAAACCAGGCCCGAGGGCCACAAAACCAGCAAACAAGCCTATGTAGAATCCATGTTGTAGACAACTTCCAAACTGGATTCCGTGCTTTGCCTTAATGTTCTTATTTGAAGAGTAAAATGAATGATAGTGTACTATATCAAAGGGTTTGTTTATGAATGAGGAAATAATCGATGTAAAAGACTTCTTATTATAGAACCTAACAGGTAGAAAAACCTTCAATAGATATTAGCTATAATTCTTGTTCACAAAGAGCAGCTCACCATTTAGTGGGAATCCAGACACACATATACCCAAATCAACCTATTTACATAATGTCATATCAGAGGGAAGGCATTTTGATGGAAGGAGTGAGAGAAGACTTTGTAAAGAGCAGACTGTGATTAAGAAAAACTATTTACCTGACAGAGAACAAGAGGTTAATTTTTAAATAAATATTGTCTTCTACCTAGAGTTCATGAAAATTTTTAATCAAGTGCCATCCTGTACAGAGATATGTTAATATGAAGGGCACATTTCTCCAGAATTGTCAAGGTAACAGCACTGTATTTCAAGCCACAATCACATAGGCAAAGAAAGCAACATTTCCAAAGAAAGGCCTGGTGATCTTCTTTTAAAAGTTAGTCAATGAAAACTATGGATCACACTACCATATTATCTGATATTATGATAGAGGGAGTGCTGGTTGATATAAAAGTTTAATGTGCTTGATTGCTAATTGAAAATCCAGAGGCATCTGAAAAGAAAGGGCTTTTACTTTCCCCCCTTCATCAAATACCATGTGGGGTACGGTTCTGCTCTGATGCACATGGAATTACCATAAGCCAGAGTTGACTTGATGATAACTCTTTTGATAGTTTGTTGATTTTGCCTGGAACCAATTAAGACTGCATTGCATCTATCCAATAGAGAAATTAAAAAAGGCCTTCCGTTTTCTCACATAGCTTGTGAAGAATGGTAATCTGCCTAATGGCCTTTGTGGTGTCAAAGAAGCTCAATTATCTTGATCAATATGAAAAACTTACTCAGTTGATGTGTTTATAGTAATGGGCCATAATAGTACATCAAAAAGAACTTTATCTTTTAGTAAATTTATGACTTATTTGTTTTTGTTGTTGTTGTTTGATGCCATCGAGTCATAGACACGGCGACCCTATTTATGCAGTGTTAATTTGAGGGAACTAATGGGCATAATATGCTTACTACCTACCATGTTTCTAAATGGTACTAGTTTTTCATTAATTATTGGACATAATCTTCAGAACAACTCCAAAAAGAAATCACACTATAGATGAGTAAAGAAAAGCTAAGGAATTAACAGAACACTTAAAGTTATTTTTAAAGGAACTCTTGTGACAAAATGTGTTATATTTTGGACTGCTAACTGAAAAGTCAGTGGTTCAGATCCACCAGTCACTCTGTAGGACAAACATGAGCTGTTAAAACTATATATTCTCAGAAATCTAAAGGAGAAATCCTGGAATCAACTCAAGGGAAGGGAATCTCTTGCTTTTCAAATTCTCTTTGAAATTTTATAGATACTGGTTTCGATAACAAAAATATGCTCAGGGTAATGCTAATAAGATGTATGGTATGAATATAAAAGCTAACCACATAAGCTATCAAAGAACAAGACATAGAAGATGACAGGGCCAAACATGTCTTGATTAATATCTGGAGCATCAGGAAGATATCTCTCAAATCTTGAAATCTCCCACTCTTTTTCTCTAGGGTTTACTTCCTGGCTTACTCAGACTCTCTTTGATTAAACCATGGCTTCACTTCTTCAATCTTTTAACTGAATTCACTCTGTCACTCAGTTCAGATTTTGCAGGAGAAAGTTAATATTGGTTTGGCCTTGGTCAGACGGTTAGTCTAATAGTACTAAGTTAAAATCAGGGTTTGAAGTTATTCTCATGTAGAAACTCACATTGTTCCTTTCATGAAATGGGTAGATAAGCGACAATGATAGTATACAAGCTACTTTGGTCCTATTTAGAAGCTGTTTGCATTGTTGTGCAGAAAAGGGTGAGAGCAGAATGGAGTTTAATTAAGATGTCTTTCCCCACAAAGATAGCCCTCACCTTTTACAGGACCTAAGAGAGAGTGCTGGAAATGACATGGGGTCAGAAATCATCTAATTGAAATTTGTCCTTTTGCTGGCAAAAGACTTGGGAAAAACAATGTGGGATAAAAAAAAAAAAGGTGTGTTAATATTTGCCTAAAAGATACTTTAAAGGGGAAGAGTTGTAAGAAGGTGTATCAGTGCACAATCAGCGCAGATTGACTGCTGTGCCATTTTTAGCAGCATGTTACTTGAAAAAACTGGCATAGTCAGTTTGCAAAAATGCCCCCTGGAGCAAAGGAACAGTAGGCAAAGAACCAAGAGTGTTATTTTTGTAAAAATATGGTAAATAGCTTTCAAAAATTGTGGCATTAAGGCAGAGTTAGAAGGAAATTGTTGTTAGGTGCTATTGAGTTGACTATGACTCAAAGTGACCCTATCAACAACAGATTAGAACCTTGAACTATCCTGAACCATCTTCAGGAATTCTGCTACTCAAGCTCTTTGTTGTCACTATATTGATCCTTCTTTTTGAGCTTCTCCGTCACTGAACTTCTGAATGATGTCTTTTTCTAAAGAATGCCCCTTCCTTACAACATGCCAAATTATGTTGGCAAAAAGTATCAAATATCCCATGGATTGCCAAAAAAACCAAGCAAATTTGTTGGAGAAGTACACCAGGGTGCTCCCTAGAGGCAATGATAGTGAAATTTCATCTAACATACTTTGGGTGTGTCCTAAGGAGGAAGAAATTAGTAATAGGCAAAATCAAGTTGCTCAGATTTTACTTTCACTCTTCTCAGACCACATCCAGAAACCCAGGATTTATTAACAGCTTGCTTTGACAGCGAAGCTTAAGGTGATGAGAGAGTTAAAGTTCGTTTATTTCTCTCCAATGGAGAAAATATTTTTTTTGTGATTTTTCTCTGACTTGGGTATAAAGAAGATGCATAGAATGAATTTTAGAGAGATTTATAAAAAAAGAAGTGATATTTCTGAACTCTTCATATTAATATTTCATGAAAGACATTTTTAGAGAGAAGAATAGTTTTCAAGAAAATTTAAGTAGGAAATAAAGAGAAGAAGAAACATCTTAAAATTACATGAAAGGTTGTGCCGAGTCATAGTGAAGAAACTCTGAAGCAAGAAGTGAAAAGGAAAGAAGATAAAGTAGCACAGAGTTTGGACACTACTTTTTCTTAATGAGCTCTGAGGGATTGGTGGGTCTTTAGCCAGATGGCTAAGGTAATAGGAAAGAGGAAGAAAATTAAGTAAATCATTCAGAAGTTTGCCAATTAAAGGAAGAAGAAAAAAAGCTAGAAGGAAGAATTGGATT